AAAAATACCAAAGGTCAGTGGTTATTTCCTTAGGATGAGAATACTATTTTTTATGACTTTCCATGACTGACTGTCTTATCCGTGTATGACTTGGACTGTTTGATGGACTCTGATACCTCTATTTTCCACGAAAGTAAAAGCTTATTTAAACTGCAGTGTCTCTGTATGCTGGTTTGTGTGGTCTCCAACACAACTCTCACAACTCTTCTCTGAACGCACTCATTCTCCCAACAGGGAGCTTACCACAGAAAATGGAGGATGGATTTACTTTAACCATCATCCCAAAGGCAGGTTCAGATAGCTGCATGACCTTTGTTAAATTCCTCCATAAAAGTACTAAAGGCAAGTTATTATATTTATCTTTGAAGAGAAACAGGAGTCTTGAAGGACTATACTTGAAATGTAATCATCTGCATAAAGCAAAAATCAGACTTTTTCTGCTTTTCTGGGATAAGTATGTAAGAGCTTTGATCTGAGAGTGAATTCAGGTATAAATTCAATAGAAGATACATCCCTCTGCAACTCCCCTATGCACAAGGGTTTTGTTATAGGTCTTGTGGGTCAATCTTATTCTACTCCTAAAATTCTGGATGAGGAATCTGCAAATCAGTAACAAATTCTCTTTTTTTCTCATAAGTGGTCTTAAAATTGAATCAAATACTAATTTAAAATTGCTAATCTGGAGATAATTTTTCTGAATTAAGGAATGTATCAGAAAACAAAGGCCAAAATAGATTTCAGCATTTGAAGCAAGACATGGTCAGTCAGGAACCTTCCCTGGCTTAAGTCTGTTGATAAGCTTTTCATTTCAGACACTGAAACTGGTGTCCATTTGGGAAGAATTTATAATAAGGGTGGTGAAACAACCACAGAGTCATCTGTCTGAGAATTAAAAATAATTTTAAAGTGATTTTCCCAAACCTTCAGGGGATCTGATTTGATACTTGATATAAACTTTTTGTCTATGAAGTGCCAGAGTAGAGGGATTTCAATCTAGCTGTAATTCTTCATCTTCAAAAGTAGTAATCTACATACTGATATTTATGCAGGGCATTGTTGATATAGTTTATAAAAGCCAACTAGAACTTCTGGTAACTACATAGTCGTGGTCAAACCATGTGTCCCTCCTTTGTCACTTGACTAGCTAATATAGGAACTATCTATATTGGGTTCTTCTAAAGCCCAAGTCTCTTGTAAAAAGAATGTCATGATCAGATAAAAACCTGATTAAAAAGGTATTTCTTTCCTAACTGGATATTGCTATGGAGTGGGCAACTACACAAAGGGAATAAGTTTAATTCACAAAAACCTTCCTCTTCCCCTACTATTCATTGATAAAGAAATTGAGGGGAAATATTCCACTAGGACAAAAAGTATTCAAGTTGTCACAAACTACTTTAAGAGATTTTTTTTTACATAAATCAGAAGTTCTGCCTATTTTAGAGAATATATTCACCATTTTAGCCTATTAATATTTGAATATTTGAATTCTATTTAAAACTTCAACTATGCTATTTACAGACAGATATAAATTGTAGCACCTTTCCTGCAATGACGAAAACAAATTAAAAATAATATGAGATATAAGGTGAATTAGGTTTAGTAATGAGATTTTGTAATTTTCATCTGTTTAAAATACATACCTGTTGATAGCGAAATGATTCTGCTCTCTTCTTTTGATTTAACTGCCACTCTTTGAAACACAGGACAGCTTCATCTACAGTGAGCATCCCCAACTTCACCTGCTCTTGTAGAGTAATCAGCTGCCTCTGACCTGGAGTCTTCATACCAGCAAATGGGTCGTATATACTCTGTTGAGGCTGGTTTGAAACTGTATTTATTTGTTCTAAAAGTTAAAAAGAAAAAAAACCCATCATGTTACTTTCTCACAGGGCAAATTACATAGTTCAATTGTGAAGTTTAAATCAAAGCCATCTATATTTTAACTAAGAAATGTTGTTTTCCAGAACATGAGTGAGAGGGATCAAATGGAATATTTGGCCATGACTTTCATAGGAAAGACGAAGAAGAAAAGAGAAGAAATGTGCTGTCCCACTCACTCACACATAACAGTGGTTTAGTGCGTTTATTAATATTCTCCAGCAATTCCCTTCACCAAAAACCCAGAACTGCCCCCATTAAGTCCAGCCAAAAGCAGACCAATGCTAGTCCATAGAGCAATGGCCAATGAGTCCACAAAGTAACTTGAAAGTTTCCCAGTCAAGATAAACCCACCAGGCAAACTTAAATTCACAATACAAGAGGGTTCTCGGGGCAAGAAAAATCCCTTGTTCACAATCCAAGTCAAGGCACGGGGTCAATCCAAAGCAAGGCAGGAATCATAACAACCAGGAAACACGCAGCTAGGAAATGAATCTGTTGTTTCCACCATTGTCTCCATCTGTCTGCTGTGCTAAATAGCCAGCTTCCGCTGCGGCCCATCAAGAAGGGAGAGGCTGTCTCCTCACAGAAGGCTGACCTTCTCTGCTCCTGCCTTTTCTCTGCCCTGTGTGTTCTTGGATCAGGTGCAGAAGGCAGCTCCTCTTCATTGCGGACCAGCTGCAGCTGTGCGCTTTCCCCACCTGAAGCCTCAGGGCTGTCCTGCTGCAGCTGCACTTCAGCCAAATCCCTCTCAGATGGCTGCTTGGAGCCATTGAACAATTCCACTCCATTGACCAATTCCACTCCAGCCTGGAACTGGTTCATCCTCCTCCGAGCTGACACCAGGGGAAACATCGCATGCGCCCCCCCACTCCGTTTTCACTGGCAGAGGATTGCAGGAACCCGTCACAGCCTAAAATGGAGTTTGGGAACCCATTTTCACTGGCAGAGCGCTCGGGCCGCCAAAGGCACCCCCGACATGAGTGACACTGAGCAGGTCATGCCCCCTCTGATCACACCCGCCTTACCCCCCTGAGGTCAAACACAACCCTGATGTGGCCCTCAATGATTGAGTTTGACACCCATTGTCTAGGGCAGTGTTTGTGGACTTCAACTCCCAGAATTTTCCAGCCAATGCTGGCTGGGGGATTCTGGGAGTTGAAATCCACAGAACTTAAAGTCATCAATTAATTTAATTAATTTAATTTAATTTATTAGATTTATAGGCAGCCCAATCCCAGAGGACTCCGGGCGGCTTACACAGAACAAAAGAAAACAAACAAAATCAAAATAAAAAATAAAAATTTAAAAATTCTCCAACACGCATACGTTCTGATTGGGGCTGGACCCTACATAATAAGGTCAAAAGCCCCAGGCCTGCCAGAACAGCCAGGTCTTAATAGCTTTTCTGAAGGCCATGTGGGTGGGTGAGGTCCGGACCTCTGGGGGTAGCTGATTCCACAGATTGAGAAACACTGGTCTAGAGCAAGCAAACACAAGAGTTTTCATAGGAGTTTGGCAGGGGAAGATCGCAATCTACTTAAAGCAGAACAGAAAGTAAAGAAAGCTTCACAGTATAGTATTCTGCAATCTATGTGCAATGTTTGTTGTTCCAGATAAATAAACCAAACCTATTCAAAATGCAAGCTTCTGTTTTAATTGGGGATAATAGTAGTGTAACCTGAGGAGAGATTCTACACTGAAACTCATTTGGAAAAATGAGTTCAAGAAACTCTAGCCAGGATCAATAAAACCCAAATGAACACAGAAGAGAAATAAACACAGAGGAACATGAAAATTAAATGAAATAGAAGCATATAATCCAAAGGTATTCGATGTCAATAAAGCTCAGCAATCAATATCAGACTGGAGCAGGTTTTGCCAAGCATTACAAACTAAAACACCAGCATTACAGAATACAACATTAATTCCTCTAATGATTCTCTTCTCTTTATGAAATTTTGCAGTCAGTAGATGACATACTTTTATTTGTAATCCAAAAGTGAAAGTGAGCCAGATAGCAATATGAAAGTAAAAGAGACTTTGCTCTTTTTCTCTCTCTTGGTTTTCTTTTTTTCTTTTTAAAGGTTTTTATTAGGCAAACGTGAAAAACGTTGGACATTGTGCGACATTTCTGGCATAGTCATTTCCACAGAGTTTTTTTGATCTTAAAGTAATAACAGTTTATATCTGTTACATTAGGCACGTGTAGTCAGTCAAATTGCTTACCCATTTATCCCTTTCATTATATAGTTACTATCAGTAGATATACATCTCCAATTCCTACCTATTGTACAGTCTTAATACCATATTTTCCAGTTCTTAACTTATTCATGTTTCTCCTCTCCCGACCTTTTCCCCTTGTTTCTAACCATCGGTACCATTTGTCCCAGATTTCGTGGTATTCAATCTCACTCTTTTTTTTAAATATGTTTTTATTATTTTTACACTTAAAACAATGCAGTACCGCAAAGTCAAAGTGACCATACATTCACATTATATACAGCTAGTCTCAACGGTTAACTATTAGCCTACTTAATACATTGTCTATCCTTCTGTCCAATCACAATATATACAGTTTGTTCCAGTCTTGTCACCTTGTCTTATACCAATCATAAAATCTGTTCCAGACATCAAAATATTCTGATTCCCCTTTATTTTTAAGTTCAAGAGTGAGCCTTTCTGCTTCCACACAGGCCAACACTTTTCTGATTATATCTAGCTCTGATAGTATATTTTCTTTTTTCCAATATTGTGCATAAGTTATGCGCGCCGCAGTTAGTACATGTATAATTAGATAAAGTGTATCTTTCTTAAATCCCTCCGGTATTATACCTAGGAGAAAAATTTCTGGTTTAAACAAGATTTGGTTTCCCACCATTTGTTCTCTCTTGGTTTTCCTTGTAGTAATTTTATAAAGATTATAATTTACAATAATAAACACTAATATAAACTAAAAAATAAATAAATAATAAAATGCAGGAAAGAAAAAAACAGAAAAAAAGAAATTAAAACATTGTAAAGATATATATATATGTATGTATGTATGTATGTATGTATCTATGTATATATATATATAAATCAGCTGGCCAGCGCGCACATGCATGCTGCAGCTGACAGGGCAACACCTCATGTGCCCTAAGAAATGGCTCTGTGTGCCACCTGTGGCACGTATGCCATAGAGTCACCATCACAGTCCTAGAACTTGGTTTCTTTTAATTTATTTTCTTTGTTCCTTCTCACAAAATTCTTCCAAGTTTTAAACATTCTCTTTTGTAAATCCAATGTAGGGAAGTTACCCAGGTCACTCTTTTGGTTTTTTATATGCATATCCTTTTTAATTAAGATATCATAATAAGGGTTCATTTGTATACCCCTCTAACATCTTTTTTCTATATCATTCTTATTCCTCTTATTCCATTCTTAACCTTTAATTGTAATCTTTAGTTCCTTCTGATTCCTTAAAAGTTTCCAACCTTCAGTGTTCCATCCTAGCAAAACAAAAGTACTTTCCTATAGGAAGGATTTTGATAATTTATTTCAAATCCATTTGGATCCTTAGTCAGTTTGAAATTTTCCAAATCAAAATTCTAATCATCTTGTTCCTGTTTATTCCAAAACATGTTTTTTTAAAATTCTTAGACTAGTACTTAACATTCTTTCACTAAAGATTTAAAGAAACTCACCCTGTGCTATAAAACAGGTTGATCCAAAAGTTCCTAGTAGATGAAAAGCAGTTAACAAGCAATTTCTGAATTGGATTAGAAAAGGAATATATGTCGATGAAGATTCTCAGTCATCCAGGTAGAGTTGTCTGGAAACTGAGTCACGGCAACTGGATTTCTTTTTTTTAATTGTTTGAAATGTTTTGATGCTTATCCAGGTAGCTTCTTCAGTCAGAGCAAGTTGGTGAGAGGGACCCCACTTATATTCTCCAGGGTAGTTTCATTTCTTACCTAATCTGAATAGGCTTGATAGGTGAGTAGGAGAGAGTTGTTGCTCCTAAATCCTTTCTCCTAAGAGGTCATTTAGTATGGACTCCTTGGTGAACCTGCAAAGTGGTCTTGATTTTCCTCAGGCCTGATGTAAGAGCAGCATAAAAAATGGGGGACCGATTGTGTCTACCTCTATTCAGGGAACAATTTTCTACTTTGGCATAAATGGATTCCTTCACTCATCTTTCAAACCATCTATCTTCCCTGCCCAAAATGTTAATATTATGATCCTCAAAGGAGTGTCTTCTTTCTTTTAAATGAAGGTACAGTGCTGATTCTAGTCTTATGGTATTGTTTATCCTGTGCTGGGCTATTCTCTTGTGTAAAGGCTACTTAGTTTCTTCAACATACAGTTCTGAATACTCTCACTGAACTGGACTGCATACGCTACATACATTGTCTTATGTTTTGGTGTCCAAACTTTAGGGTGGACAAGCCTCTGATTCAGTGTGTCAGTAGGTTTGAAGAACAGAAATATTTGGAAAACACTACATATCTGTCTTCTTCAAGCCCATCAAAACACTACTCTGCCTACTGACCTAACAAGTTTATTCAGATTAGATGAGAAATGGAACTACACTGGAAGACGTACACAAGGTCCCTCTCACCAAGTTGCTCAGACTGAAGATGCTATTTGCATAAGCAGCGAAATGTTTAAATCCAAATAGAAAAGAAAACCAGTTGCTATGACTCAACTTCCAGATTAGAAAAGGAAGTATGTGGATCCAGTGTCCTTTGGAAAGGCATCAATTGCCGTTTGAGCAAAGATGGTTTTCCTTATCTCACTTGACCTCTAAATCTGCTAGAGCAAGAGGTGTCCAAACTTGGGAACTTTAAAACTTGTGGACTTCAACTTCCAGAATTCCCCAGCCAGCCTGGGGAGTTGAAGTCCACAAGTCTTAAAGTTCCCAAGTTTGGACGCCCCTGCACTAGAAAGTGCTGGCTCATTGCCAGGTCTTCATTCCATCACTGTCTCCAGTTCATCATTTCTTCCCCAGGAGTCCTGACCACTTTTTAGCCTCTTCTGTGCCCTTAAGACTTTAGTCCAAACTGGCATTCCAGGCAGTCACACAATCTATCTCATATTACATTTATTTCTTTATTTTGTAACATCCAATAATTGCCTTTTCTCTTTGATATTAAAGAATAAGTATTCCCATGAAGGTGTGGTCTATTTGCCTAATTATTTCCAAATAGTATAAAAAGCGCTTTTGCCAAAATAAATTTAAATTGTTCAAATAGAATTAAGCTTTTTGCTATTAATTTAAAATTCTTATCAAAATTATTGTTTTTTTCTGTCTTTAATCTATAGGGAACGCTGATTCACAAAGTGGTTTTTTTCTTCATCCTGCTGATTTAAAGATTTCTCTCTATAAACTGATTATATCCAAATGTGGTTAAGAAAGGAAGATCCAAACCCGGTATCCCTAAATGCCTGTGTTGCAGTCGTAAGCGCACTGGATCGTCTTTAATTCCCTGCCATTCAACTCCCAAGTTTAATTCCTGCAGTCTCTTCATAAATAGTAGTCATTTGAAATATAGGTGGAAGATTTTTTTAAATCTCTCTTTATCTGAAGAGGCTCTGCTGCCCAGAAGTTATTGTCTGTCCACCAGTCATCGCCACAATGTTTCCAGAGACTTTTTAGTCTGCCATGCAGACTCCAGACTCCTCTATTTATTTAGTTAAATTACACTGAAGACCAAAATAACCTTGGCATGAGAAAGCAATAAAACCGATTATAAATATCAAGAAATTTTCACAGCCAAATTTGTGAAACTTCTGAAGTTCCCAAAACTACTAGACAACTTAACCTATGATAGTGTAGTAAATTTAGCAGTATTTCTAGAAATGTCTGAAGACCTGTCAAGTAAAATTAAGAGTTGGAGAGTGCTCTTTTCTGAGATTGTATAAAAACAGGGAAGATAAATATTACTAAGACAGTTCATCACTGCAGATAGAAGAGGAATCTTGTATGACTACTTATGTTCCAGCTCTTAAATCACATTGTCAAATTCTGTATTCGTGACTCACCTTTGCCAATGTTTTTTGCAGAAACATAAAGATTCCCAGATTTCTCCTGATCTTTTCCTGTAAATACTGAACATGTACAATTTATTTAAAACATTTTAAAAGTTCATAATATAGTTGTGTAAGTAGCACATATTAAAAAACTGTTAAAAATCATTTTGAAATATAAATCATTTTATCAAACGTAACATTAAAAGAAATATAAATACAAATAGGAACAAAACTCAGAGGAGTACTGAAGAAGTATTGAGGAGTATTGAAACACATTTTAAAAGGGGAGAATTCTACACTATATGAGTTTTTAAATGATATAGCTGAACAGAATTTTTTATCACCATAAGACAAACTTTTAAAGACATGATGACATAACTGATTCAGGACCATTTTCACAATACAAACTGCGGGGGAACTATCTTTCAGAGGAATCTTCCCTGGGAATCAAAGAGAATTTATTTTAAAAAATCCCTTCAAATGGAACTATTAGATTACAGAATAAGACATTGCCGGTTGCCTAGAGACTATTACCGCAACAAATAGGTCAAGCTTCAGGTATATAGATTCAGTTTACTTATCAGAGGTTTCTGATGATGACAAAAGCTGTCAACCAGTAGAATAAGTTAGTTTATGTAATGATTTTCTCCTTCCCCAGGAGTTTTCAAATATAGGATGGATCATTTGGATAGCCATCTGCCCAAAATGTTTTTGCAGCTCCTGTAGTGAGTAAGGGGTTGACTAAATTACTTCTAAATTACCTTACTAAACTACTAGGCCGCAGGCAAATCAAGAGACATGAAGACGAACTCCCCGCGGCCAGCCGTCCGCTCCAGCCCACTGACTCTTGGCTTTCCCACAGTGCAGCGGGTCCGAATTGTGTGTCAACCCCCCCCCTCCCGCACGCCATCAGCTGCTTGGACAGTTAATCAACAACTGTACAGCCCCAGAGCACACCAACCAAGGGGCCAGTGGGCTGTGGCTGCTGCCCGATATCTGCCCCTGCATGCTTGCCGCCTTTGTGTGCATGCTGGGGGGGATGGGACTCAGCCAGGCTGAAATTGTACTTCCCCGAAATCACCCTGAAATTGTGTTTCCCCAAAAATAAGCCCCAGTACTTATTTAAAAAACCCCAAAATATAAGACCAGATCTTATTTTTGGGAAAATACAATATAAATTAAAGGTATTATTTAAGGCAAAAGCAGAAATAATGGGTGGAAATCACAAGGCAATATATTCAGGTTAGACCATAAAGTAAAAACTCCTGAAAGTAAAAACTTTCAACTAATGCAGTGGTCCCCAACCTTTCCGGCTTGGTGGCTCAGCATGAGGGTGGGTAGGCATGTGAGTGGCAGGTGCACAGCTCCATTTATGCAATGGTGTGTGGCCATAAATTAATATTTACTTTTTCACTTTATTATGTTTGCAATTTGTAAAGAAGAGGCACAAAACTCTGAAATGAAATAATAATTTGACATCTATTAAAATGGACAAACTCCCCTCCTATTCTACACTGTCTAGCAAAAAAGTTATCAGAATTTTTTCACCAGTCACCTTTATAAATGTATGGTTCTTTGTCTTGTTGTATGGAGGAGGGATCAGGTCTTGGAACAGGAACAGGTGGCCTGTTAACCATTTCCTGGGGAAAGCTGTCTTGTTCCACAGTATGATAGACATCTTTGTCTTCACTTTGATGGTAGATAGCTTCTTTAGGTTCTGGAATCTCCAAATTAACTCCTAGAAAAGAAAATGATATTAAAAATAAAGCAAACAAAAATGAATAAACAACAATTTTCTTACAATTTTCTTCATAAACAAAAGTTTCAAGGCTTCAGCTCCTCCAGGGAGCTAGTTTGGCACCATGCTGTAATTCACTAAAGTCTTCTGCTGTTTCCAAAGTGACCCCTAGATTATGTTAGAAATAACTGGAAATTCAGTTAAGGACATGGTCACACTCTTAAGCAAGGTCCAAGCTGTATGTTTCTATAACCAATATGGGCTAGGCCTATTTCTCAACATGCTAATCCCATTTATTACTTTCCTATAAATACAGATATATAAATACTGACCTATGTTCTATTTATGGAGATGCACTAATAAGGGAATGTGAGAATTATTGAAGAAGCAATACATAAAATTAATAAGATACAAAGCTGGAAAATGAAAAACAGAGAGGTATGGGATTCCATTTAGATTGGATATTCTGCATTGATTAACAATATCTATCCCAGTAGTAGTTTCACTGTATAAATTATCATGTTGCCTTTTTCACACAGTAAAACATTTGCTGATCAATGATTAAATGAAATTGATTAACTGATACAATAAAAGCACTTAAAAGGTAAAATAGAGTGTAGAGTAGAGTAGGAAGGCCTGGAGGAACATTGTCCATGGGGTTGCGATGGGTCCAACACGACTTCGCAACTAACAACAACAAAGAGTAGAGTAGAGTAGAATAGGATTAGATTAGTTTAGATTAGATTAGATTTATTGGCCAAGTGTGATTTGACACACAAGAAACTTGTCTCCAGTCCATATGCTCTCAATGTATATACAAACAATAAAGTGATAGATCATAGATCATAGTTACAATGATTAATCATAATATATGACAATGAGGGATAAATCATAGGTACCAACAGGAGAATATATTAGAAAGATGAGAAGATGAGAAGGATAGTATCAATATGGCCTACTACATGGGTAAATATATTTAGGCCTACGAGAGTGCTGTGGAAATTAGTGTTCAACAAAGTGATGGCATGGGAAGGGGGACTATCTTTGTGTCTAATTGTTTGGCATGCAATGCTATGTAGTGGCATCCAGAGGGGAGAAGCTGAAATAGTCAGTGTCCAGAATGAGAGGGGTCTGTAGATATTTTCTCAGTTCTCTTTCTGGTTCGTGCAGTCTACAGATCCTCAATGGAAGGCAGGTTAATTGCAATTGTTTTTTCTGCAGTTCTAACTATCCATTGAATTCTGTACCTGGTCCTGTTTGGTTGCTGTGCCAAACCAGACAGTTAAAGGGACAAATGACAGATTCAATAATTCCTCTATAGAACTATATCAGTAAATCCTTGGGCAATTTGAGCTTTCTGAGTTGATGCAGGAAGAACATTCTTTGTTTTGCCTTTTTAATGATGGTTCTAAGGTGTCTGTTTCAAATCCTCAGAGATAATAGAATCTAGAAACCTGAAGGTCTCTACTGTTGATACTGTGTTGCCTAATATTGTAAAAGGTGGTAGAATAGGAGAGCTTCTTCTAAAATCTACTATCAACTCTGCAGTTTCAAAAGTGTTCAGCTCCAGGTTGTTCTGGCTGCACCACAGGGCCAGTTGATCCATCTATATGCAAACTCATCATTGTCTCAAATGAATATTGTATCATCTGCAAACTTCAGTACTTTTAACAAAGGGATCCTTTGAGATGTAGTCATTGGTCCTTCCGGTGAAGACATGGCTGACAGCTGATATGCCCAGAGTATCTCCTCTCTCTGGACTGTCATTTTTCAAACTCAACAACAAAAGGAGCAGGCTTCCTTTTGTCTGCTTTATTTTCCAAGTTAAGGAAAGTCCCAGAATCATCCCTCAAGATCTTCTGATAACAGCAACAGCCTGCAAGCAGTTTTAGAAGCTGAGCTTCAAAGATAACTGGTGAGCTGAAGCTGGGAGGCGGGATTGAAACCACATCGATGTTGGATAAAACAGCTGTTTTGGAATTTATTTTTCAAATGGACAATAAGCTGTGCCCTTCATTTCTTAAATAATGTATGAGACTATTATCTTTACAAACTATAGAGGCCAGTTTTTAAGTAATGCTGAACAATATTCTAAAGTTGGTAAAATATTATGCACTATATATGAAAATATGAGAATGAATGCTATATTATTCCCCTCAGCAAAGGAAGCTGAGATGGTTAAAATGTTTCTTTTATCCAAATAGGAAATTATATTCAATTTTGTCTCTAGTTTGAAAATGCTTCCGGATTTTGTGAGAAAGAAAAAATAATATATGAAACCTTGATTCTCTTTTTGTAAATCAGACGGGCTTATTGTTATAGAAATGGCCTGTACATATTGTTGTGTAAAAGCAAAAAGTTGTAGTTCTAATGTTGTTACCTTGACTGTGCCAAAGAGAGTTGGAAGTTGCTGCCTTTTTCTTTTTTCTACCCNTTGACCAGGATTCATGTCTATTTGAGTAGAAGGTATATTGCTTTCCCTCTGGACATTTTTCTCACCATACATCATAGATATTTAATTCTTCGGCCATTTGGAAGAATGACTTGGGCAACATTCTCTTAGCTGCTGACAGCTCTTTATAAGGCCAGATCCTGAAGATGAAACTCAAGTACTTTGACCACCAAATGAGAAGGAAGGACTCAATGGAGAAGAGCCCGATGCTGGGAAAGACTGAGGGCAAAAAAAGAAAGGGATGACAGAGAATGAGATGGCTGGATGGAGTCACGGAAGCAGTAGGCATGAGCTTAAATGGACTCCAGGGGATGGTAGAGGACAGGAAGGCCTGGAGGAACGTTGTCCATAGGGTCATGATTTGTCAGACCCAACTTCACAACTAACAACAACAATGTCACTGACAGCTACATGGGTCTCAAATAAACAAACAGCTTTCTGCAATCCAATAAAAGTGGTCCTGTACTAAATTTGGAATGGGTCTTTTTCTGCCAAAGAAAAAGACTTTCTCCTGGTCAAAAATCAGGTAGAAGGCAGGGAGCCAAGGAGATGTTCTGCCTCTTTTTGGCTGGTGCAGGACAGGACAAATCCTCTTAAATAAATAAATTATATGACTGTTCAATTGAATAACCTGGAAGAAAGAAATCCGAAGTACTGCAGGCACCACAATCTTGGGTTACACATTAATTTGATAAGGCAACCACATGTGGTGCTACCAACCACATATAGGTATTGACTTACAACCACAATTGAGATCAACATTTCCGTTGCTAAGCATGACAGTTATTAAGTGAGTTTTGCCCCATTTTATGACCTTTCCTGCCACGGTTATTAAGTAAACCACACAGTTGTTAAGTTAGCAACCCGGTTGTTGAATAAATCTGGCTTCCCCATTGACTTCCTTGACAGAAGGTCACAAAAGGGGATCATATGACCCAGGGACACTGCAACCATCATAAATAAATGCCAGTTGCCAGGCATCTGAACTTTGATAATGTAACCATGGGGATGCTGCAACGGGTGTAAGTGTGAAAAATGGTCATAATTTACTTTTTTCAGTACCATTGCAACTTCAAACAGTCATTAAATGAATAATGGTAAGTCAAGGACTACCTGTATTATCTCTGGCTTTGTACACAGTCATTCCATTGGGTAAGAATACAGGCATCTCTAGACCCGTGATGGCAAACCTATGGCATGCGTGCCACAGGTGGCAGATAGAGCCCTCTCTGAGAGCACATGAGCCATTGCCCCAGCTCAGCTCCACCCCACATGCATGCGTGCCTCCTGCCAGCTGGTTGATTTTTGGGTTGTGCGCACATGCAAAGGGAGACAGGGGGGTAATGCGTGGATGCATGGGGGCGGGTGCTCATTTGCATATGGGTGGGAGTGGGGTGGGGGGATGCAGCATGCCCCCCTCCTGCACCCCATTTTTGGTCCCAGGAGGCTGCAGGAAGGTTTACTAGCCCCAAAACGGGGTGCAAGGGAGTCGTGTGCGCATGCGCAGGTCGGTGGGGTGCAGGATGTTGGTGCTGCACATGCATTGTATTATGGATGCATTGCAAGCACATATGCTTTCAGCACGCAACAACAAAAGGATTAGCTCTACTCTAAACCCAAGTCTCATACTACTCGCAACTCTCATCACTATCTTGTTCTTTGTTCGTGAAGTTGCTTTGTTTCTTCCTACGTCTATTTCCTATCCTTCCTATCCTTTATTTTTTCTTCCATTCAATTGTGTTTGATTCTCAGTTATCTGACCCCGCTGAAGAAATCCCTGCAGTTTTCTTGGCACGTTTTTGAGAAGTGGTTTGCTATTGCTTGCTTCCTAAGGCTGAGAGAGAGTGACTGGTCCAAGGTCACCCAGCTAGCTTTGTGCTCAGTTTGAGACTAGAATCCAGTCTCCCAGTTTCTAGCTTGATGCGTTATGCCTACACCAAACTGGCTCTCAGGCGTATGTAACAGCATGTTGTAAATATCAATATAATATTTATGCTGCTGGGATGTTCAATGACATTTTTTCCAAACCATTTTTTAAATCATGTGATTTTCTTGAGTACTTGTTTTATGGTATATGAAATGACTTGTTTTTATGGAATTTATTGGGAGAGCTTTCAAAAGAGGCCATGTGAGCCTTCCAAAGAACAGGGCTGGTTTCACATGTTGAAAAGTCCCTTTTTAAATTGTGTGTGCAGCAATCATGGTTGCTGGATCTCTGTACTCTTAAATCCCAACTTTATCTCTCTCACCCAGATGAAAATCACATTTTCCTTAGATCTGTTGTTTGTTAGATCAAACTGCTAAAATTGGAATTCTAGCGTAATGAATATTTAATTTACAACTGTTAATGTATTTAGGAAAAAATAAAATTGCAAACATTCAAATGTCTTCCTTCCTTCCCTCCTTCCTTCCTCCTTCCCTCTCTCCCTCCCTCTCTTGGTCAATTTAGATGGAAATAAGTTCTTCAAAATTTTCAGATATATAGATTATATGAATAATGTAAAATTGTGGTAAACGTATTCATTAAATGCACCACAATCGAAATGAATAAATTTTCTTGCCATAGCCAATAAATTAAAAGCAGAACTCTTTTAGGTTCTGAAAGGATTCCACATTTAACTGTGTGTAGAAATGCCTATGAATATAAAGCATTGCTCAGTTCTTCACAGTGTTAAACATATTCCAGAAATAAGTCCTTTGCATCCAATTGAGCTTCTACTCTAATGTGTGTTTAGGACTGCAGCCATAAAAAAAGAAATCCCTAAGTGTTACTGTTTTTCACAAAACTTTGGGGAATTGTATTTTGAGTTCTTTTGTAAGATACTGTCTTACATTGGTGATGCGATAGCTCAGCAGTTAAGATGCTGGGCTTGTCAGCTGGAAAGCCAGCAGCCCATGTTTGAGACCGAGCAGTTCAAAAGCATGCAAATGTGAGTAGATAAATAGGTACCACTTCATTGGATAGGTAACAGTCCTCTGGGATGCTGGCCACTTGACTGCAGAAATGTCTTCGTATAGCACTGGCTAATGACCTTGAAACGAAGATGAGCACTGTCCCCTATAGTAAGGTGACCAGATTTTAACATTGGTGAAGCAGGACACAATTGACCGGGGGGGGGGGGGTGTTTCTTGATTAATTTTTTTAAAAAAAATT